AATAAGGAACCTTGTTTAGAAACCTGATGAATTAGCTTGAACATGTGTCCTCATGTCTCTCCTGCAGGCCTGAGAATGTGAAACTGCATCTCTGATCCAGAGTCTGGAGAGCAAATTGCTCACCTGCTGCGTGCAGCTGGCTAGCTCGGCCAGCTCGCAGCTGCTGCATGGCCACGGACGCTCCTCTCGGTGATGTGTGCGTGGGAGTTAGGTGGTGATGTGCACCTCTACCCAGAACAGGGGGAGGAACTGCCCACCTTTCTGCAGACACTGCTGCTCCATAGCGTGGTCTGTCTGAGGGTGATAACTCATCTTAACAGCTTGCTCTGGGTGGTGGGCAGAGGCTGCTCTGGAGTGATGTCTTCCTGTAAGTTGGAAAGCGGGGAGTTGTATCAGGAATGGATCTCTGCGACACAGATGTCCAAGTATTTGCGAACTGCTTTGTGAATACTGATGAATCTTCTTTTGGGAGAGCTGAAGGTCTTGCAGGAACAGAAGCTGGTCCTGCTGGGCCAGCTGGAGCTAATGCAACAGCAAATTCCTCTGTTCCTGTTCATGCACTGCAACCTCTGGGGAGTGCAGGGAGAGGAGCTCTAGCACAGAAGTAGGATTGTGTTAAATACTGGCTGTGAGAACACGCTCAGAAACCCGTTACTCTTGTTCCTACAACAAAGGCATGTGGTGCATTCTGTCTTAAATCTGCCACAGATCTTAATTTGTGGAAGTTGTAGGCTGTCCTTGTACTGGGGTGGATGGTATTTGATGGGGAGGCTTCGTTAGTGCAACTGGAAAGCAGAAGTGTTTTGGCCGTGTAGAAGCAGCTTGGAGTTTTAATTCTGGCATGTGAGAGACATGTGGGCTCTGTTTGTCATCTGCAAAGTGCCTGAGAGTTTTGTGTTTTCAGTTCCTTCCAGATACTGACAGAAGTATCCCTTGCAGAAGCCAAGAGAAATATCCATATGCCCAAAAATAAGGATACCAAGGAATCTTTGACCTGCAGAATCTGCATCGTTATCAGTATGTGGCATCAGCACCAAGCAGAAGGTTCTGAAGTTTTCAGACGTGTGAAGCTGTAAAGTCCATGAGCAACGGCAGGCGTGCAATACACCTCCCAGTCCTGCTGGGGAGAGGCAGGCAAGTCTGCCTCTTTTCTACCAGATACTGAAAAGCCTCCTAAGCCAACGCTTGGCAAACACTGTCTCTGCTCAGAAGTGAATCTGAGTCAAAGTTTGGGAGACGTTAAAGTCAGTAAGGAGGAGTTGGGTCAGAGAGAGGGTCAGTTTAATGCAGTAAAAAGTGGGTAGAAAAGCAAATGCTGGAATATGCTAACACCTACAGTTGGACTAGGGAAATGTTATTTTGAAGGATAGCTCTGCAAGGGACAGGTTTGCCACATGACCTAGTGATCTTTGACACGCACATCACTTTGTTCCATTTTTCAATAAATCTTATTTAGACACATGGCTTTCTACTCCACTTGGTAAATTTTTGATTTATAAAGATTAATGTGTTGCTAGCCCATTTTCTGGGAAGCTCTTCCAAGGGTTATGTGAAAGATGTGCCTTGAGGGTGGCAGATGAGGGTTTACTAGCTGGTGAGAATAGGGCTTCCTAAAATACACCTGACTTTTTAAATTGCTTGCATGTAAACAGAATTGCAACCAGTTTAAAAATAAGCTAACCCGGAGTGACAGCATCACCCAAACTGCACAGCACAATTTGCCCTTTGCTCAGCTGCTTATTAGAGAGATTTACAGGCATGGTAAGTCCTTTGGGGTCTCACCACCTTACGCTCCCAATGTCATATTTCTTCTTGCCGAGGTCTCCTTGCACTGAATGGACATCTCTCAACTCTAAGAACTCTGTTCTTTCTAATTTATTTTGAGGTGGACTGAACGAAGGCTGACTTCAGGAACAGTCACTGCCTTAGGAAGACAGCTGACTGGCTTGAATATTTGCTCTGTGTGGACCTGATACAATGGTGAGTTCTTTGAACCGAGGGCGCTGACTCTGCCCTCGTAGTGAGGAGCAAGCAGATCTCAGTGCCTGCACGTTCCTGTGGCTGCAGGAAATCCTCCAGGGAGCCGAGAAGTCTCAGGGAAGCTTCTAGCAGGGCAGGTGTCCAGCCCGGCTTTCCGGGCTTGCACAGCTGGGGAATCCGCGCACTTTCCCTGAGAGGAAAGGGAAACCTGGGAAGCGTTCTTGCCAGAGCCTTCCTCAGTGCCAGCCAAGGCACGCTTGAACTCGTACTGAAGTCCACAATGTGATTATGGAAATCGGTTCAAATTTAAATCTAAGGTACTTGTCTAGGCAAAGTTAGAAACTCAGGCAATGTTCATTTAGCGCAAGAAGCCTTTCTTCATCCCCTGGATGTGCGCAAAGGATAATTTATATGTCTGTAGCAAAGAGGGGTAATGGAGACTCTGGCCTGGATGCCTTATGTTTAGCAGCACTAAATGTAGCAACCAGAGATGCCAAACCAGACTGGTTTAGTCCTGGGACTAAAAGGACTAAAGAATAGTTTCCTGTCTGCTGGGAAGCTCTAGCTCTTCCCAGTGCAGAGTGTTGCTAGTTCAAGCTCCATCTGAAACCCAAGTCTGGAAGTTTGAAACCACTTTTCACGTGTGGATCCTTGGTTGGAACTGTGTTCCTTCCTCCTGCCGCTTGCTCTGAGCTCCGGGAGGGCGGCAGGACGCGGCAGCCCCGGCAGCAGCGCGGCGCCCATGCCGTGTGTCCCGCCAGGCGCACCAGGCCCGGCCCCGGCTGGCAGCGGTGACTAAGCAGAGCAGAGCAGAGCCTCAAAGGGTCCATTCTTCTGCCAGAGATTTATTGCGACAAGCAGAGGTGCTGGGATGTGATAATTGCCTTCATTCCCGGACGGAGACCCTGACGAACAAAAGGCAGTTGCCTGCGAATCCATGGTGTGACTCAAGCATTTGCTTGCAGGGGAGGAGTGAGAACTGTGGGCCTGCTGCTGTAGCCAAAGCGAATGGGCGTTAATCAAAGGGCAGCTCTGCCCTTCACAGCCGAGAGCAGGGGCCCTGTGGAGGTGGCCTGGGCCCTGCAGCCTTCGATTCCGCCCTCCCGGACTGTCCCGGGGCCGCTGGGGCCTCTGCTCCAGGAAGTGCCGGAGCACTGAAGCTGCCGGCTCCGCTGCACGAGGGAAGTGCCAGGATGCGCTGCGAGTGCCCGGGGAGCTCCGGCCTGTCTGACTCCCTGCTCGTCGTATCAGGGCAGCTCTTCTGCCTGGCCTCGTAGACAGCCCCTGTGGACCTGGTCATCTGCTGCTGGACTCCCGAGTACGTTGATGGTAGCAGCATCATCAGGACCTCTGTGGAGAAGGGGGTGCCTGGAAGGAGACCCAGACGCTGCTCTCGCAGGTTGGGGCGACGGCGGGTGCCTTCCTGTGGCTGCGGGGCTGGAGCTGCGGCACCGGGGCAGCGGGAGCGGGGTGTGCGGGAGGAGTGTCCGTGACCCTTTGGGAGAAAGAGATGAAGGAATCTGGGGAGGAGGAATGGAGAAAGCCTCAGGGATTGTGTCTGCTCCTTGTAATGGAGCCTACAGCTCACAGGACCCGCACAGCAGGATGGAGGATGTGGAAATAGGGAACAGAGGATGGACAAAGCGGGATAAGGATGGCGGGGATGGTGGATGCAGCGTGGGGCATGCGGAGTGGGCAGTGTGAGGAATAGAGGGTGCAGGGGTGCGGGGAGGGATGGGAGGTGCGGGACGAGACGTGCGGGGTGGCGGGAGCTCGCGGGCGCTGCGTGGAGCTGAGCGGGGCTGCGGGAGGGCTCTGTTAGAAGTAACCTCCTTCCCTGGACTCTGTGGACATGGATGTTGCACTCTTGCTGCTAGCAGCATCTCTGGCGTCTGCCCCACTGCCTTTTTTCTCTGCCAGGATAATGTTCCAGGTTTCCCGCGGCAGCAGCGTCGGGGGCGGCCGTGGAGACAGGCAGAGCCGGTGCCGCTAGCGCAGTCAGCGAGGGGCGCCGGGCTGCGCCGCGTCCCGCGCTCGCCGCGTCACGGCCCGGCTCTGCAGAGCCTGTGCTCGCAGATCAGACGAACCCCGAGCCAGACACGCGTCTTCCTGCGGGGCTCGGATAGCTGCCTGTTTGACAGCTGTCTGCCGAGCTCTGAAAGACGGTTTGTGAAAATGCTTTGAGTCAAGGCTTCAGCTTTGACTTCCTTAGTCCCTTAGCAGCACAGTACTTAAATAATGTGCTTTTGCTGTGCGCTCCGGAGAGTCCCATCGGTGCCAAAGGGATTACTCAAGGCTAGCAGGGTCGGTGCTGAAAGACAGCGCTAGCTCTTGTTTGTATTGGAAGATGCAGAGGCAATTTCCATGTTTGTTTTTTTACTTATCCAGTCTGTGATTTTTATAATGCCAGTGCAGTTACCTGAATAAATCTTATGCTGCCCTACAAGCAGTATTTCCCTCCGCTGGGTGCCTTGCTGCTGTAGAGGTGGAGCTGGGGTGCTGATGAGCGGAGCCGTGAAGTTTGTCAGCTCTCCTGGGTCATTCTCTTGTAGTGGCTTGAATTATAAAGCTCTGATCATGGCAGGAGGCCAGATTTACTCATCTGCAGGATCTGTACTGGTGCTATAAAATCCTGTGGACTTTAAAAGAAAGTAGAAAACTTCCTGTAATTTGGTGCTGCTTAATAATGTCACTTATGATGACTTTAATTCAAATGGCTTTAGTTAGTTGATACCGATAAAGAAGCTCCACTAACTTGCCTATTTGTGCATTAACATTGCATTTCTATATATGATAAATTACCCTGTATTCTGGAGACAAATGTTAAAATAGAACCCTTAGTTCCTTAAAAAGAATGTTAGAAGAGGAAGCATTATTTTGGTAGTGTGCTATGTAGCTTAGGTATTTGAGAGTTGTTTGTCTTTTTTGACACCGTCTGAGCAAAGAAGCTCTTTGCAGAACACTTCCCTCTCTGCAGTGCATTTCCAGTAACTCTTTCTTTATTCTAGCAAAGAGTGAAAGCTTTCCAGTTGGTCAGCATGTTTAGGAGAGACTTCAGGCCTGAATCTTGGTTCTTCAGCTTTCTGGTGAGTTTTATAGAGATTTTAATAATTGGAATAGCTCAGATAATATAAGCCTTTTATACTGACGTAATTACAACATCCTTTCTTGCAGGTAGGGAGTCTGTCCAGGAGTCTCTTAGCCTTTGCGGCCATTGCTGAGAACCAGACTTTGACTGGTTAGTGCCTTTATCAGCACTTCTGTATGTTTTTTATAAGCACAGAGAAACAGTGCTTAAAAGGGCATGCAGCTTCAGAAACATGCAGAAATAAAAATAGATTTTTTTTCTGATCTTCTATTTCTGTGGCTTTTGTTACGTTTTATTATGTTTGTATAGCCAAGTATTTGCTTGGCTAACTGTGAGATTACTGCCTGAAAATCAGGTAAGTGCCATGCAGTTGCTAGCCTTCACACCACTGTAACTGCAAAAAAAGAGGAAAAAAAAAAAAAAGAGAGAGATAATTTTGTGCTCACAAGTTGCACCTGCAAATACAGAAAAACTGATAGGAGCTGGGAAATGTGGGAGGAGAAGAGAAGAAGAAAGGAGAGAGAGAGAGAGAGAGAGAGAAACACAGCAACCTGCAGGATGAGTGTGGCTTGCTGAAGTGCATGCCCTAGTTTGTGTGTGTCTTTCCTCAGGTTTTGCTCCTGCCACAATTGAGACCTTAAGACACACGTACGAATATGTGGCCACCCCTTTGGACTGGTGGCGCGCGGACCGACACTGCGAGCAGCGCTTTGCTCAGCTGCTTTCTGAACCCAGAGACAGCGAGCGCGCGTCCATCAGCAAACTGCTGCAGTCGCAGCACGTCAGGGGCTCTGTGTGGTTAAACGACATGGACGGTGCCCTGCCCAAACCCAAACGGAGACGTGAGTATAAGTGGGACGGGACTGTTTGGAGCGTGTACCCTGCTGGGTCTTTTTCATAGTAGAAAACTCACCTGGCTAGAAACGTTGCCACACTTTTATTGCCACTACAGTAACACCTAGCACTTCCTAGTCACAACCTGAGATTGGCAGCATGACGGATGGTGATCCCAGCACACCAGCTGCCTGGGCGCTGTCGAGACTTGTTTTAATGCATTGCAATGAAAGGGGGTTGTAAAGGGATCTCCCCTGCTCCAGCTCCCTGTAAAGCACATGTGGCTTTGCTCACCCCTTGCCATTTGTGACCTGCAGGTTCTGCAGAGCAGGGATGGCAGAGACAGGACCAGGAGAATGGGCCTTCTCTAGCAGCAAGGTGCTGCATGGCAGATGCCTCAGAAGTCTTATTTGGCTCTGAGCTTGGTACCCATAGGACAGGACCCTTGGGAATGTGCTGTTCCTTCCAGATTCCTTGTTTGCCATCCTGTTTACCAGAAACATAACTTGCTGGAAGTTACACTTGCTGGAAAGATGCAGTGCCAGCTTGCCCACCTTTCCATCCCCTGCAGTCCTGGGGGAACCTGAAGAGCTGCTGCATGCATACAGGGTATCCTGCATGATGGGGCCATGGGTTCTTAGCCTGGGTAAGGGGCAAATGAAATATATATATATATATATATTTTGCAGTGGAAGGTGAGCAGGCTTTGCTCTGTGCATCTTCCTCCTTGCTCGCTGCAATTTTCTTGTCCTCCTTCTAGAGGACCACATCGTGCCAGTCCTGGTGTTTGGAGAAAAAACAGACACAAAATACGTGAAGGTGCTTTCTGACTTCCCAGCACTGCCTGCTGTCACGGCCTGTGCCCACCTCCAGTGGGACACCAGGACCCAGGAGATTGCCACCATCTTCTCATACGCTGTGCCAGCTTTCATTAATGAGTTCCAGCTCCGTGGCTTCGTCGACGAGGAGGGCTATGTTCGATTTGCTCTCATTGTCCACGGGCACCATTCCCCGTACCTGCCTGTGTTCCGTGCTGACGGACACTGGCATCACTTCTGCGTGACCTGGCAGCAGGAAAATGGGACCTGGGCCATTTATGCCGATGGAAAACGGAGGGCATCTGCCAGTGGTTTGTGTGCTGCGGGGCTGTCTGCCCCTCAGGCCATCTATGGCCGTGGGACTTTCATAATAGGGCAGGATCAAGATTCCCTGGGGGGCACCTTCAGGGAGAAGGAGTCCTTCAGTGGGAACATCACTGACCTGCACATCTGGCAGAAAGTCCTCAGTGCGGAGCAGGTTGAGAAAGTTCGATCATGCCGTGTGGTAGAACAAGAACTTGTGTTTGGGTGGAGTTCAAATGATTTGGAGGTTGAAAGCACCGTTCAGCAAGTGACTGTGCAGTTTCTTTGCCCAGGTAAGTCCTGTCCGTGCTTCTGCAGCTCCCTTCTTCACTGGAAGATCAGCAGAAGGCTGTATAGCCCTCCGCATAGGGATGGTCTGGGAAAAAATCCTTAGGGGAGGGAGTTTGTGCAGCTTAGGGAACAGCGCATCACTTCTGGGAAGGAAAGCGCAAGCAGATACAGAGCTGGGCAATTTCCCAATCATACTGAAATTCACAGTCAGAACTAGAACACTGCTCATTGGAGACCCCTGTGGTGACCTCTGTCCAGTGCTTCCTGGTGCAAAGTAACCCTGCGAAAGACAGTCATGGCAAATTACACCCTTTCTCTTCTACCTGGAGAAAGGGTTTACTTATCAGTGATGCTCATTCTTGATACTTCTCACCTAGTGCTCTGACATTCTACTAAGAGAAGGCAATCTGTCTCAGATCACCTTGATAGTTACGGATCAAAACATGAACCCGAGACCCGGCCTTGTCACCTCCACGGAGTTCTTTCTGGGGAGTATTTACCAGAACTGTCGGAAGCAGTTTCTGACCTCTCCGCGCTCCGCTCTGGCTGGGCCACGGGGCTGCCTCAGGAGCAATTTGCAGCTTTTGTTTTCACCAGAGTTTGTGAATCGCTTGCAGGAAACAGGATACCTGCCTGGGGATGGCAAGTCTCCGGGGAATCCTGGGCCCTCTCTTTGTGTGTGTTTCCACAGGGCCTGTGCCGAGTTTTTGAAGCTGGCAGCAGTGGATTCAGTTACGTGTCTTGTTTGCAGCCCTTGCCTTTTATCTGTTGCTACAGAAAGGGTACAGCATCTGTTATTTATTTGTTCATTACTTCCATGGCATTCACTGCTGGCGGTCCTAGCTAGGATCAGGGCCAACACCAGGGAGGTCTGCAGTCTGCTCTGGGGGGATTGCATGTAAAATGTGCTGCAGCACTGACTTGACTTCACTTGCATGCTCTCTGATGGGTTGTTTTGTTTCTCTTAGATATATGGTGCTTGTGCATGTTACAGGGCTCTTGGGTGCAGTGCTGCAGCGTGTCACCAATTCCAAACATTTTCAAACTTGCTGAGTGGAGGACATGGAAAGGAGGCAGAAATGAAGGGTTAGGCTGTAGCTCCAAATGGGGTCTTGCACCGGGAATAAACTGGCTATGAAATGTCCTTGTCCTGACTGCCCTCTTAACTTGCCCTGTGTCCGAGGAGCATTCCCCAGTCTCCAGACGCAGTGTACGTTGACCATGCTGCTCACGCCTTGGTTTTGTTCCCAGATGTGTATCTGCAGCTGCAGAAAGCTCAGCTGGAGTCCAGCCCCTCGCTCGCTGCCCGTGTGAACACGCTTGCGGCCCGGACCGTGGTGAGTCCTGCCGTGGGCTCTGTGCTCCGGCGCTGGGAGCAGCAGGGGCGGCTGGGCTGCACCTGCAGGCACCCAGCTGTGCTCAAGCAGGTCCCCTGGCCAAAGTTATGGCTTGGGCCTCTGCTGTCAGCATGAGCAGTGCAGCCCTCTCCTGTGGCCCTGGCTTCTGGTGTCTGTGTGTGACTGGCTTTGACACAGCCTCTTGTACAGGCCTGGGGTTGCTCTAACATATCCTCAGGCTTCAGGTTGGCTCTCACGGCCAGGGTTGAGGGGATGGACAAGAGAATTAAAAATGTTAAGATAGACCTTCTTTCTCTAAAACATAGGCAGAAGGATAGAAGGTGGCATGCAGTGTGTTGCCCACAGTCCCTAGTGTACTACATAACTGACAATCAGGCAGAATCGGGGCTCTGCAATCAACTAAAATATTTTTCCCTTGACAGCTTCCTGAGAACATATTCGCAGGTAATGTCCAAGACATGAACCTCTCCATTGCCATTGGTTCTCTTGATGTCCTGGCATCTGTCTTGAGGGAAGGAAAGACACCCATGGAGTCATCTGACCTTCTTGGAGTGCTTCAGTTACTAAAGCAAGTTTCTGATGTGGAAGTCCAGGATGGAGAAGAGCCAGAGATCCTGGAGCAGTTGAGCCGATATTACGTGAAAGTAGCTGGGTTAATCCTGGAAGAGCACAATGTTGAAGCGTGGTTATCAGTGAGCCAGGTAATGCACGATGCCAACGGCCTGCAAAGCCGTGTGCCCATCTGTTGTGCGTGCAGCTCCTTGGCCTGCTGTCTGAGCGCAGGTTGAGGACGTGTCGTGGGTCACACAGCCTTTCTGGCTGCTTCCTGGAGCTTGTGCAATGCAGCAGTGTGGGCACGGCGCTGCCTTGCCCGTCAGGGAAGGGCCAGCGGCCGTCGTGTTGCCCCCTTTGCTGGAGGTGCAGACAGGTTCTTCTGCAAACAAGTGCAGACAGTTCCTTGCAACCCCCTTCTGTGGTTGCCTCAGTTCTCCTCAAGTTTCCCCAGTTTGTCAGCCTGGATTTACAGGGTTACACACACTGCCGATTTCCTTGCTCTCACATCCTACCGTTCTTGGCAGGGCAGTGCCCTCCATTTATGAAGTTTGCTGCATTTTCCGTGGGTGGACTGCCAAGGAATTGTCTATCATCAGTTCCCGAACTGTTCAAAACAGTGTCAAGCTCTGTGTGAGGTATTTCATTTCACCTCCTGTTAGGCTTTTCTCCACTGCCTTAATCTTCCCTTCTCACACACATCTTTTATGTCTGTTGTGTGACCTGCACCTGTCTCTGGGGAACGTGTGACAGCGCTTGGCTCTGTTCCTGGAGTGCTGGCCAGGCCGGGGACCTCCAGAGGAGAAGGGATGCTGAATAGTTCAGAGCTTACCTCATGGCTTGGAGTGGGGCTCTGTTGCCGTGATTGCTCAGAGCTTCTTGATTGTGGCATAATACAAGTTTTGGTTTAGTTTAGCTGGTGGAAGAGATATATCTGCTGATGATGAAGGATGATTTGAGGCACGTTTTGCTGGTGACATGTTCAGGACTTTGAGTAATTGGGACAGTCACCTTTACACTCTGAACAGTGGAGTCGATACCTGGGTGAAACCTCTTCCAGGAAGAGAGGATGGTTTTTCTGCAATTTTGCTAAATGAGAAGTCAGGTCTAGATAATCTTTATTTTTTTGTTTTTTGCATGCTTGTTTCAGTGGCTTTTTATGAAGCCAAGCACACTTCTCCCATTTTTCAATGTTTTTTCTAGTGGTGCAGGAGCTGGGAACACTCTTTTTTCTTTATGAAGAAAAGCAGAGCAAAAGCCAAAAAAAGTCCCACCTCTTCTCTTTCCATGAAGGACCAAGTCTTTGAGAACCCTACTGTGTGCGGTGAGAAGTGTGAGCTGGCAGTGAAGGTGTTGCTTTCCGCTGTTTGTTGCACATTCCAGGTTATCCGAGGGCCGATGGCCGTTGTGGAGATCTCCGACAGAGTGGTGTCCAACCTAGCCCTGCTGCTGAGCGCGGGGAGGACCAAGGTCACGGTGCGGGGCGGCAACGTGGGTGAGTGCGGACGGGCAGGGCGGGTGCTCGCGGCGCGGGGAGGCCCGCGGCTCCCGCAGCACGCGGTGCCAGCACGAGGCCTCCAGGGAAGCAGGGGCTGGCCAGGCTCGGGGGCCAACTGCATCTTGGAGTGCTGGGCTGGCCAGGCTCGGGGTTTGCCAGGCTGATAGTGTAACAGGCCAAGCACTGGTGAGCAGCAGAGCTGGGTCAGGGCATCTCACAGAGATCCAGTGTAGTCACCTGAGCCAGTGTTCAATCCACTTCCAGCACCTCTCCTTCTCTGGCTCGTCTCTGGCTAAACCTTTGACCTTTCCCCCTTTCCCTATTTCCTTTGTGCATAAATTTTGCAGCATTGGAGGCACCTCTGCAACCCACTTTTCAGTTCAGGTGTTCTCCTGTGATTCCGAGTGTGCCTGGGTGCCCTGCATGGTGGGCTGCAGCCAATGGTGACAGTGGCACAGGACTGGGCAGGTCCCAGCTCACCCATGTTCAACACATGGCGTCTCTTACATGCCTGCCAGGCATCCCTTTCCTCTGTATTAGAAAGAAAACCTATTACATTCCTCTACTCAGTCCACTTCTGCAGACTTTTATCTGTAGGAACAGGAGTCAGGCTGTTCTGTTATAAAACAAGTGGGTAAAAAGTGATTGTGAGATTGTCTTTAGGCCCAAGAGAAAAGCTGAACTCAAATGCATGTGTTTTAAACTCAGGGGTCTGCTGCTACACTGAGTCTCGACTGGGGTTACCCACTGGACCGGGGGCCTTGTAGTAATTTACTGTAACAGTAGCTCAGGGGAAAGGCTGAACCGAGGTTCAGACCTGCCCGTTTTTACCCTTGCATCCTCCACAGGGATGGAGGTGAGAAGGCTGGAGCTGAGCAAGCAGGAGCCAAGCAGTGAGATGTACCTGATCCAGAGCCCTGGGAGAGGTGGACACGACCTTATCGAGGTTCCCACAGAAGAAATGCAAAAACTGAAAGCTAAAGGTAGGAGAATGATGTCCCTGGTATGTTTCCATATGGCATTTTGAACAGGGTAGTTTTTCTGCAACCTTTTTGTAACAGCAGGAAGTAAAGACCCTGCCTGCAAGCAATGAGTAGGAGTGAGGGGAGACAGTGCTAGAGGGAGATGGGCTCTGAGAAGATGATTTACAACCTTTCTCCAAGGACAGCTGCCCCTGCCTCCCCAGGTGAACAAGGGAGCTGGGGATCGTTCCTAGCACTGTCAGACTGTGCTGAGGACTATCCAGCGCGTGTGAGGGTGCCATGAAGCTGCCTGGGCCCTGTGAGCAGGGACAGGCTCCCTGTGTCCCAGGCCATCCCGCCTGCTCCCTCTCCCTCTTGTCCTGGATTCTGGGTGTGCTGCAGAGAAATGAGCTGCCCAGGGATGCGTGTCCTGCCCTGCGCACTGGCACCCTCCCACGATGCTCTCTCTGTGCAGGTCTCAGCAGAGTCATCGTGAAGAACATGTGGTTTGGCTACGGCTCCCTCCAGCGCTGCCTGGCCAGCATGGGCACCAGTGCCGACTTCCAGGATGTGGCTGCCTCTGATGGAGGACAGAAGTGAGTGAATTTGTCAGAACATTCAGAAAACCCCTTCCCTACCCCAGGGGTAGCCATTCTCTCAGTAGCATGAGAGAATTCATTTCAAAGTCCCTCTGCCCTTCCCCATCCTATCCTATTTGTCCTTGTCCTCCCAGTTTCTCCAGGACGCATACGATGACAGGGTGACAGAAAGGCACTCAGGAGTCATCTTGGCCTGAGCTGTGTGGCTGCCTGTGTAGCGTTTCACTTCCACGTGGCTTTGATAACCCTGAGGATAATCCGCTCTGATGGAGCGGCATAAAGGCTGAGAGGTGCTGCATGCCCTTCTAACTAGGGCACAGGCAGAGGCTGTTAGGACTGGGATGCTGCAGAAAGTGGAAAAGTGGCTGCTGAAAAGCAACAGGCAGTGCAGAGCCGTGTTTTCTGCCAGGGAGCCCTCTGAACACTAGGTGGGGATGGCAGTCCGTGCAGCCGGGATGCAGACGCCGTCCTTCGCGCAGACCTTTGGCTCAGCCACTGTGCTGCTCGGTTGCTGGCCACTTAGGATGCTCTAGGGCCTCATTTGCACAGTCACCTGGTGTAGTTGTAGACAGAAGTGTTTTCTACTTGCTAGGTAATCTGAAATATTTTTTGCCCTGTGCCCAGACCCTTTGCTGGAGGTACTGGAGCACCCAGGAGGTGCCTCTGGACCTCTCCATTGGTCTGTATAAAGTGAGATCCTGTTCTGTGGGCACATATCTCATGTTATCTGTCTGTCGAAGCTATACGGTGATCTTTAACAGAACACAGAGGAGATGAGCAAATCCTATGAGTCTATCATGAAATTAGTTGTACTGTGTACTCACTCCAGCTCCCTGGCAGGAGTGAGGATAAGCCCTATGGGGCAGCGTCCACTTGGCTCAGAGAGCCTGGTGTCAGCTGCTATGGGCAAAGTCCTGCTTTGTTCAGCTTTGAGGCCTTTCCCCCTCTTTTATTGACAATATTGCCCTCCTTAGCCTCGTCCTTGTGTCAGTGAGCAGCATGCCTGTCCTTGCAGGTACCTGAGCACCACGGTGGGAACTGCAGTCATCTCATCCACCCTGCTCAGCGACCACCAGGAGGTGGGCACGGCCGTGCGCTACCGCCTGCAGCACCAGCCCCAGGTACCCTGGCAGGGAGCGCTCTGCGGCCCCGGGGCCTCCGCGGCCAGGGCAGGCGGGCGCTGCATGGCCTGTCCTGAGGCTGCACCCGGCTCTGCTGGAGGCCCTGCATCCCTTGCAGTTACAGGGTCCCAGGCCTGGGCAGGTGTTTGCCTCGTGCCACACTCTGTGACACTGCAGCCAGCGAGCGGGCTGCTTCAGGTCTGTCTGTGTAAACTATGTGTGCAAGGGTTTATAAACTTTGTGTGCAAGGGTGTATAAACTTTGTGTGTGCAAGGGTGTATAGACTGTGTG